CTTGAGAAAAACCTCATTATTTCTTAGGTGACAGACATGCTGCATACAGACAAAAATTCATATAGATAAGGTTGTTCCTTGCAGCAAAGCCCGTCTTAGAAAAAAAATTGGATATCATCAAAGGCTCTGACCATTGAGACTAGTAAAATAAACGGTAGTAGAATAATACAATGGCTTGCTGTGGATCAATCAAAAGACAAGATGGATTTGTAGGAGATAATATGAAAATGTGTCTAAGGTACTTTGAGTAGAAAGTGCAGAATGAGCCCAGGGTGTAAAGAAAATGGGATGTGTGCTGGACAGAGACATGGGAAGCTGCTCCTAGGAAGAGGGTGGGGGTCTTATCACGCTCTTATGCAATCTTTTATACTGTTTGCATCTTTTAGCCATATGCCTGTGCTACTCTCACGATAATAAAAAAATAAACTGACATGAAAAGACTTTTACTGTAAGAGAAAAACTATCACCCCGTCCCTCTTAGGACATCCCTGTGGTTTTAGAATACACAAGGAAGCCACTCCGAGTCCCCCACGGGTTTGCCGAGTAGGCCACCTTCAGCCTCTGCGTGGCCTCCTTTCCAGAAATCTTCCCCGGCAGAGATGGGGACTGTCAGGCCTCTGGGCTGAAGCCAGCCCCCAGATACGCCTCCTGTCCTCACAGACTGCTGTAAAAACAGTGAAAAAGACTTCACATAAGAAAATTCTGATTCATGGCCTCTCTGGAAACATTTGGCAAAACCAGGGCTGTATTTGTGAGCCCAGCGCTGGGCAGCAGCCAGGTGCAGGCTGCCCCTTGAGCAGGTGAGCACGCTGTGTTGGCTGGACCTTCTCATTCACAAAGCCCACTTGGTTCCTAAAGCCAGTTGCGGGGGGCGGTGTTCACAAAGCCCTGCTCTGATGTCTCACGGGTGAGGCCCCGCCCCCTGAGGCAAGTGGGATTTAAGCATCTCTGCATTTCAGCCTCTCAGTCCAATAATTCCACTAGAGTCTGTCCAAGCGGGTCTGAAGAAGCGTCACAGCAACATGAGGGTGATTATCTCCCTTATAAACGTGAAATGGATGTAGCTCAGAGAGGTGAGGTGACTTGTCCAAGGTCACATGGCAAGTTATTCTCAGGCGCAGGGACGAGAGCCCAGAGCGCCACGCTCCCGCGCTACTGCGCATTATGTTGCCTCCCGCAGACCGGATGCTGGCTGAGTGTGAAGGGCTGGATCTCCATGGGCATCATCTCCTGGGTGAGATAAGAGAGCTGGCCTGTGTGTGGGTGGCACCAGGGTCCTTACCTTCCAGAGGAAGCAGGTGTAACAGTGACAGCCACAACCTTCATTCATAGCTCCCTGACCCTGAGGGGCGTTCAGGGCGGAGGGTAAGACCCAGCTCTGAACCATGGCTCAGTATTTATTATCTGGGTGACCTTGGGCAAGTTATTTGTCCCTCTGTCCCTCTGTTTCCTCACTTGCTAAGTGGACATTATAATAACAGCGTCGCCCTCAGAGGACTGTTTTGAGGATTAACTAAATTAACAGGTGCAGAGTGTCATATGCCCAATTTCCCAAACGTCAGTTCTTCTGGGAAGAAATTAGGCACAGAGCACTTAAACCACGTCTGGCACATGGTACGTGCTCAGTAAACACAGGTGGCCAGGATGACTGGGTGGTAGGAACTGGGCTAAGTGTTTTGCCTGCTTTATGTCGGTCAGTCCTCTCAACTGGGATCAGGTAAGAGCCATTTGTTCATTCATTTAGTCATTCATACCATTCATTCATCCCCTAGTTATTTCTTGAATGTCTAGTTATGCTGGGTCCTTGGTGCTGGGGATGCAGCATTAAAGACACAGAAACTTTACATTCTTTCTGCCTTCTGTGCTTGCATTTTAAGGGGTAGGGGGACAGAGACCATCAATCCATCAGTCAGTCAATCATCAGAGTGATCCATGCTATGAAGGAAATAAGAGTAAAGGATAGAGAATAAGGCTCGGGGCGGGGGCTGAGCGAGAAGTTAGGGGTAGGATGGTGAGGGCAGGCTGCTTCCGTGCATTTGCGCAGAGACCTGAGCAAAATCGGAGAGGGATCAGCAGATGGACACAGGAGGAGCCTTCTCGGCAGAATGGAAGGCAAGTGCCAGGGCCCCGAGGTAGGAACAAAAGGTCGGATTCGTGGAATGTTCCAGCAGCCCAAAGGAGGTCTTAGCGGCTGGCGCCAGTGGGTTGAGGGGAGAGACGCCGCACACAGGGCAGGGAGGGAGGCAAGGGTCAAGCCTCGTACTCTGTTCTCTATTTTGCAGAAGAAACTAAAGCGCAGAGAAGTTGAATCACTTTCCCAAGGTGATCAAGCTGGTAAGTAGCAGAACCGGGGGCTGGAACCCAAGGCAGTCTGGCTTCCAGGTAGACCTTCTTAACCATCAGTATATACGGCCTCAAGTATGAACAGCCAGCAACACGGTGGAAGTCTGGACGCATCCAGCCCTGCTTGCCCTGCTCCAAACTGTCTTCTGGGAAATTAGGCACAGAGTACGGGATGGTGGAGAGAGACAGAGAGAGAGAGAGTGTGTGTGTGTGCACGTAGGGAGGGGCCGCAGAGCAGAAGAGAAGGGACTCCCTTTCTCTCCGGGCACACTCATATTCCCCTCGGCAGCTTCGGTAGGCCACTCGGGGTGATGGTGAGGGCTCAAGGTTTCACATAAAATGTGGCATTTTCCCCAAACCTGTCAGTTCTTGGGGCATCTCGAAGCTGACAGTTTTAAAACACCAAAGGCACTTAAATAAAAATAGCACATTTCTAAATGCAGTATCTTCCCTGGCAATGATGTATGAGGCCGCCGTGGCTGGTGGCGTTATCTTCTACGGCGATATATTGCGCTGTTGCCATTCACGCCATCAGTCTGCAAAACCAGGGTTATAAAACCCTGCAATTTATGGCAGAATCTTGCAAATCTATGTGTTATATATGTGTAGATATCATTGCCTGGCATTCCATATGCAGTAACCGCTTGGTCCAGAAGTCAGGCCCAGAGCACCTCTCCCCCAACCCTTTCTGCAAATGCCGGGCTCCCTAGACAAGATAAGTGTGCACACATCACTGCCAGACACTCCCCCACCCCGCAGACTAAGCAGTAAATTAAGCAATGGGCTGTGTCTTGGTGGAAGAGAAAAACACAGATATGGAAACAGCAAGATTTGGTGAGGGGGAGCGGAAACAGGGATTGACAGTCCAGAGACCCAGATCTGAGTCTGGGCTTGCGCTTTTATTTTAGGGTCCTCCTGGGCCACCTGATCACATGGCCGGTCCTAGATGTCATGCACTGAGAGGGAGACAGGGATGGACGTAAGATGCAATCCTCCAATGGGGCAGCGTTTCTCAACCCTCAATGTGCTTTCAATTCATCTAGGTCCTGCTAGACCACACATGTCTGGCTCCACCCCTGGGGGCCTCTGATTTGGGTGTAAGGCCTGAGAATTTGCATTTTGAACAGGCTCTAACAGGTGATGCTGACACCGCGGTCCTGGGACTCTGGGTCATTCTGTTCCACCTGTTCCAGATGACAGTGGGGGCCTCCGTATAAAAAAAACTCAGAGAGAGAAGTAATCTGCCATATAATCATCAACTTCTCTCAGCAGAACAGGGCAGGTATGCAGGTAGAACCTGGTTTCCTAGACCCTGAGCTCAGTGCTCTTTCACTGGGCTTCACTGCCTGTCTCTTGGCTTCGTCCTCGAACATGCTCCAACCACAGGAGCAACAGCAGTTAGGGGGAGGCCACGAGGATGGCTACCAGACACATGCAGCTTGCGGCAGAACCTGCCGGGCACATTAACTCTGTGGGAGCGGGTTGGAGCCATCGGCCGAGGCCACTCAGAGCTTCCCAGGGCTCCCCTGAAGGTCAGACGGAACCATCTAATGGCTTCTTGAAGGGAAAATGACGGTCTGAAAGTTTTTTCCTGCTGAAACTCATCACCTCCAACAGCCACACGATAGATGGTTGCTGTCAGGGGGCCGGGGAATACGGGTCTGTGCTGCCCTGCAAGGCAGAATGCTTTTTCACGAGAGGTGGTAAATGACTTACGGGATCAAGGTAGCAGGTGCCGAAGCCATGCCGGGCTGAGCCCTGCAGGCAGACGCTTAGCTGCCCACCTCTCCCCATCCCAGCGCCGGGCCCCCGCCTGCTTCCTCAGGGAGAGCTCCGTCCCTCCCCAGGGGTGACCTTCTCACCACCACCCCTCACTGGCTCCCTGCACAGTGCAGATCTTGGCCCTTGGGCTTCTGCTGTAAATGGTCTTGGGCCGACCACGCATTGGCCTCCCACTGCCACGCAGCATGATCGCAAAGATGCTTTGTGGCCACTAGATTGCTCTTCCTTGGGAACCGCCTCTTCAGAACCCTTTTAAAGCCCCTCCGACAAACATTGTGATTTCATTCCTGATTGCCCTGATCTGACTGCAGACCCTCACACTCCTGATTTGACTGCAGACTTAGAAATAAATATCCAAGCACGCCCTAGTCAGAGGACCATTTTTATCCCAGAGAAAATCCATTTGTGACCCCAAGAGTATCCTGGTCCTCCATCACTCGTTTCAGAAACTTGGTTTGCAGCCTTGCGAGTTCTTCCCCACTTATTTCCTCGCCTGGTTATCAGGACCACCACCTACCATCTCCAGCAAGACAGGACACTAAAGAATGAATACTGCCTCCCACCTTCCCCTCATCTTCTGCATCACAGCATCATCCGATCTCACCCTCCTGTCATTAATTTATTCAGCGACTGCTCTCTGAGCTGCTACTATATGCCCGGGGCTGAGTCCTTGTCTTAATGGGATTTCCAGGGTAATGTGGGAAATAGCAAGGAAGTAGGGGACTGGATTTTGTCATGAATCCCTCGGTGACCTGGAAAAAGTCAGTTAGCTTTTGCTGAGTGAGTACTGGTCCCTGCCTGGGAGAGGGTGGGGGGAGCTCATGCAAAAGTAGGCGAGAGAGTCAGGCAGATCATTGCAATAATATTAATAACAGCCCAGATGCTCCTTGCACTGACCACGTCCAAGCACTTTATGTTTGTCAGCTCATTTAATCCTCACATAAACACTATTATTAGTTTAGCCACATTTCACCCAGAGACGTGACTGGTAAGCATCAGGGCCAGGGCTGGATATCAGGAAGTCAGCCTCCAGAGTTCAACACTGGAATCACAGTCAGGAGTGTGATGATGGCGAATGCGGGGCTGGTGGCGGCTTCCATTTCCAGGAAATGTCTCCCATCCCAGAGGAAGCCTGACCCTTCTCTGCATCCGTGCAAGATAGTGATGGCCTCTCCCTGCCACTGAAGTGTGACCACTGGGGGCCCCTCCTGGAGACAGGAGTAATGAAGGGGAGCTGGTGTGTGACCGGGTTGTCAGGCTGGGGACTGAACAGTCTGTGCTGGAAGCTAGCCTGCGAGTCCATGTGGGCTCTGCTGAGCCGAGGAAACATCTGGTCCTCCCAGTGCCTGCTGAGAAAGACCCCGGGACGGAGTGCCCAGCCTGGGAGCAGGACTGCTGAAACCCTCCTGCCTGCTTCAAAATGCACTGACCCCTCTGTATCCCCAATGGTCTCTTTTCTTTTCTTTTTCTTATATTTTCGAGAATAGAAGGAGGGAGAGAAAGGGGAAGCAAGAAAGGGAGGGAAGATGAAAGAAGGAAAGAGGGAAAGAAGGGAGGGAGGGAGGGAGGAAGGACGGAGACAGAAAGTCCGTCGCTGCTCAAATGCCTCATAGCGGGAATTTCTCAGCCTGTCATTCAAGCCTCCAAACCCCACCCCCCATATTCAGAACATCAACCACTTTCCAAACCTCCCCATCACAATCTCCCAAAGGATCATTCATTTATTTAAAATTAATCTATGTGCTTAATTCGGGGCCAATCTGCTAGACTCTGGTTAAACACCGTGGGTACAATAGGGGGTCCCCGTCTGCTGATAGACATTAAACAAATATTCCATGCTGTGCGGAGTGCTATGGGGAAAAGAATAAGGTACCATGAGAGGGAAACACAGGGTCAGAATGGGAGCAGAAAGCCTTTTTGATGTGCAAGGGAGGAGTCTGGAGAGAGAGTTCAAGGCTGCGGTGGGATGAGGGACAGACCAGCCAGGCAGATGGGGCCAGAGGCCAAGGCAAAAAGGGTCCAGAGGCTCTGGACATCCCCCACCCCACTGTCCCGCTGAGCCGGGAAAGTAATGCGTGTCTGGAGGGACCACTGTCTCGCTCACACACCCCGTGTGGGTCCAGGCTGTGAGTCCAGAGGCCAGTCTGTAAGCTGCAATTGTCGGCTCTTTGTGCTGTGGTTAGTAAACCTTTCCTCCAAAGAAGATCTCGGGTGTAAATCCATCATGCGAAATGGACAAGAGCAGAGAAGCTCTGGTGGGACCCAGGCCCACACAGGCTGGAGCCAAGCCGGTGCTCCCGCCAGGAACTTCCGGAGAACCCGGTTTGACGCCCTCTGGCCTAGGCGTTCTCTCTGGTCTCGTGAACACCACGCTTAGAAGCGAACATGCCTGTCCCCCAGCCTGGATGCCCCGGGCTGCACAGAGCACAGTATTTGGGCAAGAGGGGCTGCCTGCAGGAAAACTTGCCTCATTTTGTCTCCAAGAGGAGTTCATACAGGGCATTGCAGGGTTCCTCCCCACGCTCATCCTCGTCATGGGACAAAAGAAAGGGGGTGCTGTGGACAGAGGGTGAGGGCTGGTGAGTCTCAAGTGACATCAGCTGAGTAGCAACAGGTCCCCTGAGTTGCAAGGCAGGGAGCCTGGGGAAAGGTCGAGAGGTGGTGCATGGGGGAGGGGCAAGTGCCCGGGGCTAGCATCCTGCTCTGCCTCCCACCCGCTGTGTGACCTTGGGCAAGTGACTGAATCACTCTGGGCCTCTCTTTCTGCCTCTCTCAAAGCCACAGTGTTCTTGTGATGATTGAATGAGATCATGCGAGTGGAATAAATCGATAAGAGGCACGAGGCATGAGCCAGGCATTTGTAAAACACTTCATAAGCGATCGTGTCACCACTGCGAAGAGATGGGACGAGTACCCAGAATGGTGCCTGGCACACCATGGGCATATCAATGGGGACCTCTTCCCTGGGCCCAGAGACAAATGCCAGGCCACCGTGGCCTGCACTGTGTGCACAGCAGGGCTCTAAGTGCTTTGTGGGCATCACCTCCCTTAACACTCACAGTAGCCCTGTTGAGCACGTATGATTATTCTCCGCATGTTACAGGTGGGGAAACTAAGGCACAGAGAAGGGGAAGTAACCTGCCAAAAGTCACACAGCTAGTCACAAGTAGAGGTGGGAATCAAACACAAGCTGCCTGACTCTGAACCTGAGCTTGGAACCGCTTGACCACCGTGCCACCGCCTCCCTTCCTGACCGCCCGCACCTCTCACAATGCAGCTGTGCAGGAAAAGCTATTCCTCCCTTCTCCCCCGACTCCTGACGGGGCGGCCATTTTCCGGAATAGCACCAGATGAGGGGTCAAGAGATCAGCGTTGTGGTCCCCGTGTTTCCACCAGAAAGCTCTTGGGGGGGTGGGCTAACCCAGCCCCCTTCTCCAGGCTTCAGCTTCCCCAATATGACGTTATCGGCAGGGGTGAGGGCATTCGTGGTGCGGAGCTGGATCATGTTGGCTTAGGGTTTGAGTCTAGGATCTGAAGAGTTGTGGGAAGAGTAGCAGGTGGGGAAAAATGAGAGCCAAGGCAGGATCCCCTGGGAGCAAAAAACCTTTGCAGCCTGGTTGGGTATGAACTCTGCCAGGTCCTGGCACCAGCCCAGCCAAGAATGGTTCTGAAACGTTCCGACTCATCCAATGCTCTGAACACCTGGCCGTGGTCGCCTTCACTGGGGGAGAGTAAAGGAGGTAAGAACCGTCTGCTGGGGACCTTCACTGGGTCACGGGATCCAGTCCCACACACAGACACCTGTTGCTCCCCAGAGGGGCCATTTTCTTTCGGGGTGCCTTTCTTTCAGAGTCTAGGCTGTTTTCATTGCCTGGTATGTTCTTTTCCAACTGCTTCATCTGCCTGGCCAATCCTTTTCCCTCATCCCTCGAGATTCAGCATGGGGCCACCTCTTCTAGAAAGTCTTCCTGGATTAAGTGCCTTGACTCTAGTTCCCACAGTCCTGGGCTCACTGCTACCCGGGGAGGTAGTGTACCAGGCGGCCATGGCCTGTTCATGCCTTTATCTATCTCCCGCCTGGCCGTGAGCCCCTGGGGGAAGGTGCGCTCCCTCACCGCTGTCTTTCTCAGCATCCGCACGGAGGGAGGCACGGAGGAGGAGCACAGAAATGGGAGGACAAAGATACGGTTCATGCTTTCTGATATGAGATCTGTGTTCAAAGCCTGTCCTTCCCCTTCTCCACTTCATCACGAGCTTCCCACCGTGCAGAGACTGAAATCCAGCGTCCCCACCTGAGACGCCCGAGAAACTCACCTGGCCCCACTGTCCCTTCCCCTCCTGCCCTGCGGTAGCAATGGTCTCTCACCTAGTCCTTCCCACCCAGAGCCTTTCCACTAACTTCTCTGCAGGAAATGCTCTCCCAGGGAACCTCACATGTTTGGTTAGACCTTAGGTACAATGTTGCTCTCCAGAGAGACCTGCCCTGGCCATGTGACAGCATGGTCCCCCGGTCACCCCTGTTTTCATGCCACACATAGCACATGTATGTTTTTATCCTCCCCGTCTCGAGCACAGACCCCGCAGCAGCAGGAGCCCGGTCTGTCCTTTTCTTTCCCGTATCCACAGCACGAACAATGCTTGACTCAGAACAAGCCTTCAATAAATACTCATCTCATAAAAGAATGAAAACCAAGCTCCCCTTCCAGCGCAAACTCCTTCTGATTAATGAAAACCAACAAACTCTCAGGTCTCCATTTCGATTGAAAAGAAAGTCTGCCTTTGCTTGTAGTCCAAAGAAGCAAAAGAAACTAGTGATACTTTTTCTTTTTCTTTCTGTTTTTGGGTAGGGGGGGGTGTTTCAGGGGCTGGGAGCTGCCCTCCCATCCCCTGAGCTGCAGCACCTGGAACCTGCCAGCCCATAGTCTCAGTTCGGATCCCGATTTGTCCCCCATCTGCACGCCCATGGCTGCCTCCTGAAACGTGCTTCTCCGACATCTGAAACCAAGCACTAAGTGGATGATCGCTATGATTAAACCGCCTTTTAATTATGCAAGTAGATGTCAGTGGCGCGCGCCATGGTGACATTATAATGGACTCCGACTCCCTCGCAAATGTCGAGAAAGGCAGGGGACCATTACCTTGTCAAAATCTTCGCTCCTTGTGACTTTATTTCCAGTACACTGACTAATTTTTTAAGTAATGAAAAACAGCAGAGTGAGGAGGGACGGTTGACAAGGGCATCAGCTTGGAGTGATTTTGGTGATGCAAGGATTCTGTTGATTCCATCTGGGCACCACACATCATCCACGGTTTAAAATTCATTGACTCTCCAAAGAAAGGAAGTCTTAGGGGTAATCAATCAACGTTTCCCGGCTGCTCACCAGGCAAAGGGCCTCATGGTGGGCAGGAGCTTGGGAGAGGATGGGCAGGAACAAGAAAAAGAACACCTTGGTGCAGTCCTGCCCGGGCTTCGTTTAGTTAATTAACCAGAGACTGAAGAGTTACTACGCCAATTATGGCTCCAGGCTAGAACCTTGTTAACAAGGGGTGGGGGACGTGCGCGCGCGCGCGCGCGCACACACACGTCCCCCCACCCCAAGGCGATAAGGACTGCTGGTTTGGGTTAGATATAGTAACAGCTGCTTCCAGATGTAGACTCTTCTCCAACTAGTCGTGCAACTTCGGATAAGTCAGCTCTTGGCACCCGATTTGATTCAACTCTCAAAGGACATCTGGCTTGACTCACTTCTAAGCTATGGCTGATAACATAGTGGACCATTCTGTGCCACACACCCTCACTGAAAATCGGTCAGCATGCATTCATTAGCGACTGACTCTGAGCCCAACACTGTGCTAGGACCGTGGGGAATATAAGGCAAGTCTGA